TATATATATATATATGAATTATCAGTTTGTACAGATTTTAAAATGTAAAAATATTTATACCACTCTCATTCAATTAACCTACATTTCCCTATCCACAGTCATAATGAAATGTTTCAATCATTTTTCCTTGTGCAGAAGCTCTCCCCATAACTTGTTGGGTTTTGCAGAATTTAGAATTTTTAACCCAGGTTATCTCAAAAATTTACTGAATGCCTTTATTGCAGATTCAGTCACAATGTTATTATTTTAGATTTCACATATATATACTATGCCCTTCTTAACTATTTATTGTTGTTACTAAGTGCCGTCAAGTCTGTTCCGCCTCATAGCAACTCTGTATAGAGTTTCCAAAGAGCGGCTGGTGGGTTTGAACAGCCACCTAGCTGTTCAAACAGACCTTGCAGTCCAGTGCTTATCCTACAGTGCCACACTAGGACCGTTTTTGGTGTTGTTGGTGTTAAGTGCCATCAGGTTGGTTCTGACTTATGTAGGATTTCTGAGGAGCAGCTGGTAAATTTGAACCACCGACCTTGCAATTCAAGCAGACTTGTGGTCCAGTGCTTATCAATTGTTGTTGTGTTGTTAAATGCCATTAAGTCAGTTCCAATCCATAGCGACCTTGCATAGGGTTTCTAAGGAGCAGCTGGTGAGCTTGAACTGCTGACCTTATGGTTCAAAACAAGTTTGCAGTCCAGCGCATTAACCCACAGCACCACACCACGATTCCTAGTACAGCACCATTTGTTGTTAAGTGCCATCGAGTCGATTCCGACCCATAGCAACCCGTGTATAGGTTTCCAAGGATCAGCTGGTGAGCTTGAACCACCAACCTTGCAGTTCAAACAACTTTGCAGTCTAACGTATTAGCGCACAAGCGCCACACCAGGACTCCAGTACAGCACCATGGTGGTGGCGGTTATGTGCCGTGGAGTCGGTTCCAACTCACAGCGACCCTGCACAGGGTTTCCGAGGCTGTAAATCTTTACGGGACCAGAAAGCCTCTTCTTTCTCCTGCAAAACAGCTGGTAGTTTCGAACTACTGACCTTGCGGCTCGCAGCCCGATTCGTAACCACTACGTTACCAGATCTACGTGTACAGCACCATAAGTGCCATTAAGTAATCCCCATGAAATCAAACAAGTAGTGTGGCGCTTAAGCATCAGCACAGGACTTCGAAACACAAGGTTGGCAGTTCAAACCCACCAGTTGTTCCTTGGAAACACGACATAGGGTCACTGAGTCAGAACCAATTCGATGGTATTTAAAAAGAAGCAACGGATCAATAAGACAAAGGCAAACAATTCTACAAGAAAGTGGCCAAGAGATTTAACAGGCAATTCATAGAAGAAAAAGAAGACACTAAGCAGGAGCTCTGGTAGCGTAGTGGTTACGAATCGGGCTGCGAACCTTAAGGTTAGCGGTTCGAAACTACCAGCTGTTCCGCGGGAGAAAGATGAGGCTTTCTACTCCCGTAAAGATTTACACCCTCGGAAACCCTGTACAGGGTCGCTATGGGTCGGAACTGACTCGACGGCACTTAACAACAACAACAAGCAGGTTAAGAAGTGCTGATGGCTCTGTAGGATAAGCACGGAACTGTTAACCCCAAGGGCAGCAGTTCAAACCCATCATCCACTCTGGGTGACTTTCTGCTCCCAGAAAGATTTACAGCTTCCAAATCCTAACAACATAAATTTTGCTGTTCAAGTGTCATTGAGTCAGTTCTGACTCATAGCGACCCAGTAGGGTTTCCAAGAGTGGCTGGTGAGTTTGAACCGCCGTCCTGTGCTTGACCCCACAGCACCACACCAGAACTTCGTAGTCATCAGATAACTGCAAACTAAAACAACATCCATCTAATTGGCATCCAGTAGTTTAGATTCAAAGTTGGTGCAGCTGGGAAGAAAGGCGCACCAGACCCCCCAGGGAGGGTTCCCGCTTCACACCTGGGATTCGTTTGTAGTGGAAATCCTTCATTTCTAGAATGACAGCATCCTGGGCTTGAGGGAATGTTTAATAAGTGCTTGTCGTGGGTATCCAATATTGATTGTAGACTTTACTCTTGAAACACAGCGACAAGACTAATGGAATTGAATTGCATAATGCTAATTAAGGAGCTCTGGTAGCATAGTGGTTACGAATTGGGCTGCGAACCTCAAAGTCCGCAGTTCAAAACTACCAGCTGTTCCGCGGAAGAAAGATGAGGCTTTCTAAAAGCTCCCGTTCGGAAACCCTGTACAGGGTCGCTATGAGTCGGGACCGACTCCACGGCACAATTGTTGGGGAAAGGTGGGTGGCAGTGAGAATGCGACCCTAGAACTATGGAGCAGATGCTACCCTGAAAGCGCCTGGCTGGGGGACGGTCTCGCAAAAGAGCAGGTTTTGGAAGCCGCCCCCATCCTGGCCTTCTATGGTCGCCGACCGGAGTTGTGGTGTGGCACTGTGAGTTAATGCACTGGACTGCAAAGTCGGTTTGAACCGTAAGGTCGGCACCAGCTCGTCCGGGAACCCTATACTGGGTTGCTATGTGTCGGAACCTAGTCATCGGCACTTAACAACAATTGCCTACCCGGCAGAGACCATAAAATGGCGCCCACAATCTGTAGGCGTGGCCTCGAGGTGGATTTGTCCAATAGAAACGATTAGAGGCGGTGCACTTTCCCCCAAATGCCTTCTAAATTGGGGCAGGATTTCTGAGGTTTGCACCCTTGCATTGGTCAAAAAAAGAATAACCGGGTTGTCAGAGAGGCCAATTGGAATGAGTCTTGGTAGAGTCGTTTCCTTAGCAACGCGCGGAGTCACCCGAGAGGCCTCTAGTGGGGGAAATCCGGTTGCTCAATTCTGACCCTAGCTAGCCACAGGAGGACTAGGTGAGACTGTGTTCCACAGAGATGGGTGACTAGTTAGTTGAATGCAAACGCCCGTGATCCGCCCACCGGCACGTCCGTGCCCCAAACAGCCTGTATTCCCCTCCCTCTACTTTTCTCCCCTATCACGCTGTCCCGTAACGAAGCTGCCGCTGCTTTTGCCCCACAGCTGCCAAGTGCCAGATGATGGAGGAGCGTGCCAACCTGATGCACATGATGAAGCTCAGCATCAAGGTTCTGCTCCAGTCTGCTCTGAGCCTGGGCCGAAGCCTGGACGCAGACCATGCCCCCTTGCAGCAGTTTTTTGTAGTGATGGAGCACTGCCTCAAACACGGGCTGAAAGGTGAGGCTGAGGGGACGCTGGGGAGGGTGGAAGTATGGGCTAGGTGTTTGTTCAGCATTTACTCATTGATGCCAAATACCGTTCTGGGTGCTGGGATGACAGCAATGTACAAAGCAGATAGGTCTCAGCCTTCGAAAAGCAGCGCTGACAAATAGAAATAACCATACAAGCTACTTCTGCTACGTGTGCAACTTTAAATTTTCTAGTAGCCACATTTTTTCAAAGGTACAAAGCAGATGAAATTAATGCTAACAATATATTTAATGCAATATGAGGGGGCTTCAAAAAGTTCATTTAAAAACTTCCATTATCGGGCAGTATACAATAAGGGAGGTTGGCAGAAAAATGGTGAAGGCAAGGAAAGACAGGGAGAAGAGTGCAAGAGCTAAAGGGAACAAAGGCAAATAAAATACTGTTATATACACAATAATAGTGACCTACAGATAGATACATGGATAGGTACACAGGCTGAACTGGTGTGGGAAGGAGAGTGAGAATATACCCACAAATATGTAAAAAGTTGGCAGAAAATATTTGTACATGGGTATTTACCTTTGTTGCAAACATATCCATGAATATGGAGAAGCATACAGGGGACGAAGTTATGAAAACTTTTTGGATATTGCCAGACACCTTGAGTTACTAGGCCTAGAGACTCAGGACCATAGTCTCAGGGGACACCAAGGTCAATTGGCATACCATAGCCCACAAACATAATATTCCTCATCCTACTTTGGTGAGTAATGACTGGGATTTTAAAAGTTCATAAGCGGCCATGTAATGTATAACTGGTCTCTCCCTGTCTGGTGGAAAGAAAAGTGATAAAATATTGAAGATAACCTGAAAACAATTAGTCAAAGGACTAATCACATAAATATCCATCTCCACAATTCTGAGACCAGAAAGATAGATAGTACCCAGCTACCACAACCAGCTACTCTAAAAGGGATCACCTTAGAAGGTTCTAGATAGAGTGAGAGAAAATATGGAGCAAAACTCAAAATCATTAACAAGACCAGGTTTACTAGTCAGATAGAGATTGATGGAGCCCCAAGACTGTAGCCCTTGGTCACCTTTCAGGTCTGGAATTGAACTCACCCCTGTGGCTCAATTTTCAGCCAAGGTATATAGGCGGGACCGCAACACTAGTGAGGTACACGCACCATAGAATTGTCAGTCATTGGAGATCACAGGATTTAGCTAAGGACACAATTCAGAAGGGTAGGGAAGAAGGAGAGTGGAAATGAGAATGTGTCCAGTGAGGAAGTGGGGTAAATGACGTGCCATTGAGGGGGTTAAAATCGAGATGAAGAGAAGTATACACTTTGTTGAAGTAAAACTGATGCTCTGCTTTGTAAACCTTCACTCAATTTACAATAAAACGTTAAAAAATTCCATTATCTTTTCATTCCATTTTCCCACAAACTTTTTGAAGTTCCTTCATATATCCAAGTAGCATTTTGACACATAATCCATATTAAAAAAGAAAAAAAAAAAAACTGTATTAATATAATGTTTTACATTCTTTTTTACACTAAGTCCTAAAATATTTTCAATTAACAGTACAATCCCAATGTAGTTTCTCAATTGTACTGGCCACATTTCAAGTATACGTGTGGCTAGTGACTACCTTATGGGACAGCGCCATTCTGAAGGAAGAGACAATAGATGGAGAAACAGACGATTTCAAAATGCTGTAAATTGATGGAAGCAAAATGGCTAATGGTAGAGAACCAAGGAAGGAACCTTTAAGCTAGGATGGGAGGGAAGGTCTTTCTGGGGAGGTGAAATGTGAATTGAGACTCAGAGAGAAGGAGCCTGCCACACAAGTCCTTGAAACAAGGTCATTCCTAAAAAAAGAGAAAAGTGCAGAGGTCCTTGAGCAGGACCACCCTTGGTTTGTGTAAACCAAAATTCACCAAAATCATAGTGGTCGAGTCTATTCCAACATACAGTGATCCTGTAGGACAGAGTAGGACTGCCCTATAGAGTTTCCAACTGCCACATCTTTCTTCCACTGGTGGGTTCAAATTTCTGAGCTTTTGGTTACCAGCCAAGTGCTTAATCATTGTACCACCAGGGCTCCTTGGTTTGAGGACGACACCAAGAAACTAAGATAGCTGAGAGAGAGTGAAAGACAGTGACATAAGAGAAGTTGAACCATGGCAGTCTACAGACCACAGTGAGGAGGTAGATTTTTTTCTGAGTGTATTTTGAGGGTTTTAAACAAAGGAGAAATGTGACCTGACATAATTTCCAAAGAACTTTCTGCTGTGTAGAGAATAAGGGTTGGAAGATGACAGTATTAGGGACAAGGAGACCAATTAGATTATTGTAGCAGATGCTAGTGATGATTTGAAGAAATCAACATGGGTTTTGTGTCAAATTGGAGGGAAAAGGAGTCTCTGTATGGCACAAACAGTCAAGCACTCGAAAAGTTGATGGTTCTAACCCATCCAGAGGAACCTCAGATGAAAGGCCTGACCATCTGCTTCTGAAAGGTCACAGCCTTAAAAACGTTATGGAGTAGGTCAGCTACAACAGTAGGTGTCACTGTGTGTCAAAATCAACTCACAGCAACTGGGGCTTTGTTTGTTTAGGAGAAAGAAAGGGGAAGGATTTCCAAGGTGTTCATGAGACACCTATTTTATTTCATGGGCAATACATACTTAACGCATAGTTGGTACAGCAGAGAAACCCTGTTGCCAGAGAAAAGGGAGAGCTAATTTATTACTTGACCTTCTACAATCCCCAAGACTAAACCAGGGTTAAGCAGTTGAGCTCTGTTGCTTTCACTTGGATTTTGAAGAGACTGTGGGCCCCTGAAGAAATTCTGCAACCAGTTCTTATGAATAACACTTTGTTTCCTCTTTTTAGTTAAGAAGAGTTTCATTGGTCAAAATAAATCTTTCTTTGGTCCTTTGGAACTGGTGGAGAAACTGTGTCCAGAAGCATCAGATATAGCCACTAGTGTCAAAAATCTGCCAGAATTAAAGTGAGTGCTGTTTGGAAAAATTCCCTGTATTTACTCTGTTCTCAATTCCTTGCTGTTGTAACATTTTCTAATTTAAAGCAAATTGTAGCATGAAATACATCCTACTTAGACTTTAGTCTCAGCTCTGTTGTTCAGTACCCACATGATCTTGAGCAAGATTTGCCCCTCTCTGGGCCTTGAGTTCCTTTTCTTTAAAAAGGGAACAGTGATTCCTGTTTGCCACACAGGACTATTCTGTGGGTCAAATAAGCTGAAAAGGTGGTGAAAACCAAAGAGTAGTGAAAGGAGTAAAAAGAGTCATTGTTATACTCCTGAAATCTCTGCTCCGGATATCTTCTGGGCAGTTTTCTAAACAGTACACTTAAGACCTAATTGTAGATTCTAAAACAAGTGGCATTTGTGACTAGACTGGGACTAATGAGTCATTTGCCATGTCTGATTTTGCCCTTGGGACTCTGTTGCATAGTCTCAAAATTTAGAACTGGATAACACACAAATAAGACGTCATCATGGAATCTGGCATTTAGAAGGGGCCCTAGAGAGTCTTGAAGCCATGTGTAAACCCTTTCAGACTCCCACAGGAAACTTGACTTTTGAGCCTTTGGTTACCCTTTTCTTATGTTGTTGTTGTTAAGTGCCGTCAAGTCAGTTCCAACTCGTAGCTATATAGGGTTTCTGAGGAGCAGCTGGTGGGTTTGAACTGCCAACCTTGTGGTTTGAAGTCCAGTGCTGATCCTACAGCGCCACACCAGGAGTCCAATGGAGCCAGTCTATTCTGTTTCCCTGTAACAATAGCCAATACCATTTATTAAGGGCCACTATGTACCCAGCATTAGGTTAAGGACATTAATTTTTGCTAAATCATTTAATACTCTCCAGTCTCTTTGGATACCTATTGGTATACCCTTTTACAAGTGTGGAAACTGAGGCTTAGAATGATTGAGTTACTAGCAACCTTCCCTGGTCCCTTAGCAAATGAATGGTGAAGCCAGAAAGAGAACACAGGTCTGTTGGACTCTCAAACCCATGCATTCTTGTGAAGATGGAATGTAAACCTTCAGGCCTGTCCCTAGTTCAGCCCTTAGGTCACACCAGATCAATTTCAAGTCTTTTGCATATGACACCCTCTCAAATATGTATTAGTGACCTTTATCATGAGCCCCGCACTCCAGTCTTCTTCCCTCTTTCTTGTCTTGTTCTTCTTATGGCATGATTTCCAGTTGCTTTTTTGTCCAGCTCACTCCCTCAAAAGTAAAACCCCTAGACAGGATGCCCAGTGTTTCCTGGTGTGTTCTTGGAGCAGGACTAGGCCTCCCCCGGTAATTTATTTATTCACAGGAGACCATTGTGAATAAATAAATCTTATTGTAATTCAAAGAGTCCTGGTAGCATAGTGGGTTAGCCACTGGGCTGCTAACTGTAAGGTCAGTAGTTCGAGTCTCCCAGTTGCTCCATGGGAGAAAGTTGACACTTCTGCTCCCGTAAAGGTTTATAGCCTCAGAAACCCTATACTGGATGGCTCTGAGTCAGAACCAGCTTGACAGCACCTCAGCACCACCACCATTATGTTAACTCAGGATTTCTAATCAACTAATCCCCTCTCATCTGTTTCCTCATTAATCTCTTAGATGGTAAACAGGTGACAAGCTTAAATAGAGTCAGTCCTCCTGGTGTCTGCCAAGTAATTCCCTTCTCTTGACACCTCTGCTGGGGGCTGGGCAGAACTTCTACTGTTTCATTAAGTAGTAATAGAAACTACTAGATAGCTACAGTATTTTGGAAATTATGGCTAGTGGTTTTCGCATGGGAGGTGGGAGAAGTTGGTTTAGCTCAAAGCATTAGAAATTTGCAGAATGCATTTTGTAACCTTGGAAGTATCTTTCTAGAGTTTAATTCCCTTGTCTGAGATAAAAATATCTTTTATACAATTTTTCAACATTTTCAAGTCATGGCTTATTACTGAATATTGTCACTTAAACCCAAACAAGTTTTCTCTTTCTCTTTTTTGAAAATTAAAAATAAACTTTCTTATGCCCTAATTCTTAATTGGGAAATAATAAACAAAAAAAAAGATGAAAGAGTAAAACTTTCATTGTCCTATTACTGAGAAAAGAAACCAAGACCTGATATTAGTATCTTGGTCAGTATCCTTCTAGATACTCTCACTGCATATTCAGGCAGATAGATAGATAGCATTTTGTACTTTTATTGTATTCTCCCTTCTGGTGGCATCATATCGCTCTGGATCTACCTTTGACCTAACAATTCTATATCTAGGTGTTTTAGCTTATAGGTGTAACACATGCAAAATCACACATGTACAGTTATTTATTGTAGCATTATTTGTAACAGCAGGATATTAAAGAACCAGTTTAATAAATTAATTGTACATTCTTATGAAACATTTTGCAGCATTTTAAAAAATTGAAGTTCTGTTTACTGCTAATGAAAAATATGATCTAGATATTCATATTGAAATAAGGAAGTTGGGGAACAGCATGTATAATACTGTTTTTATAAAAAGGGCCAAGAACTAATACTTCAGATTGATAAATGTTTTCATATGCATAAAAACATTGTGGCAGTGTGTCTTAGATATCTGTGCTGCTATAACAGAAATACCGTAAATAAGAATTTAACAACCGGACAGTTTATAATTGTTGTTATTGTTAAGTGCTGTCGAGTCAGTTCCGACCCATAGCGACTCTGAACAGGGTTTCTGAGGCTGTAAATATTTATGGGAGCAGAAAGGCTCATCTTTCTCGCGCGGAGCAGCTGGTAGTTTTGAACTGCTGACCTTACAGTTTGCAGCCCGATTTGTAACCACTATGCTACCAGAGCTCCTTAGTTTATCATTAGGAGGCTTAAAGTTTATCATTAGGCTCAAAGTCTGAATTCAGGATGCTGGCTCTAGAAGAAGGCTTTCTCTCTCTGTCACTTCTGGAAGAATGTCCTTGTCCCTTTGAGCTTTTGCTCCTGAGTGATCTCTATGTGGCTTGGTAACTCTTTTCCCTTCTCCACTAGCTCTATTGTTTGTTTAATCTCTTTTATATCTCAAAAGATAATGACTTAAAACATACCCTACTCGAATTTCGCAAATGGAGTAAAGCCCTCAGGAACTACATTTGCTGATGGGGCACAACTTAAAAAAGAGGAAGACCCCCAACGAGATGGACCAGCAAAGTGGCACAATCAGTGGGCTCAAGCATGGCAACAATTGTGAAGTTGGCCCGGGACTGGGCAGTGTTTCATTCTGTTGTGCATAGGATTGCTATGAGCCAGTAGCTACTCAATGGGACATAACTACAACACTAATCCTGTCTCATTAACATAACAAAAATGGCAACTCATTCCCAACTGGTTGTTACAGGTATGGAGTTGCTTCCAATTCATAGCAACCCTGTATAGAGTTCCTGAGGAGTGGCCTGTTGTTGTTGTTAAGTGCCGTCGAGTCGGTTCCGACCCATAGCGACCCTGTACAGGGTTTCCGAGGGTGTAAATCTTTATGGGAGTAGAAAGCCTCATCTTTCTCCCGCGGAGCGACTGGTAGTTTCGAACCGCTGACCTTAAGGTTCGCAGCCCGATTCGTAACCCTTGAAATGCTAACCTTTCAGTTCATGCCAACCGTGCAGCCCAGTACATTAACATGCAGTGCCACACCAGGTTAGAAATTACAACACAAATATTTAGGGGACACAATTCAATCCATACATACGTCGCAATGTTGTTGTTGTTATGTGCCGTGGAGTCGGTTCCAACCCATAGCAACCCTGTACAGGGTTTCCGAGGCTGTAAATCTTTATGGGAGCAGAACGCCTCATCTTTCTCCCGCGGAACAGCTGGTAGTTTCGAACTGCTGGCCCTGAGGCTAGCAGCCCGATTCGTAACTGCTACGCTACCAGAGCACCATAGATACCAAAAAAACAGTTTCTTACTGTATGAAAAATAAAGAACTGGAAAGCGGAGGGACAGAGTAAAGAGGGAAACTTACAACTGTGTGCTTTTTCATCCTGTCTGGTTTTTGAACCAAGTGAAGGTATTACTGCCTATTCAAAATGATAAAAATATGATTTAAGCTGTCTGTATACACTACAGCCCTTGTTTCATTTAACACTAAATTTTAACCTCCTTGCATATGAAATACTCATCGACAGCATCACTTTTTAAATAGCCAAAGAGTATAATGGAAAGTAGTTGTAGGGCAGATTTGTTTAACCCCTGCTTTGGGGCTCTGTGGTTCTATTCCCAGGTACATACCCCTGTATATTCAAAATTATTTCCTGAGGCTGTGTCTCCTGATGTAGAATTTTGATAACCCATTGTCATAAATTGCCCTCTAAGAAAGCTGTGCCTATCCATTACCCACCAGCAGCTCGGGTCAGTGTTGTCTTTCACATCTAGTATCTATGTTTTCCTACTTCCTTTTCTCTTTACTGTGGGGTAGCATTGTTCATTTGGAGGGTGGGGTGCATTCCAAAGCCATTTGTGAATGGGGTAACCCTATGAGCCTGACTTCTGAAGTGACCAAAGTGTGTTCTGACCCTGTACAAGGACCTCTGGACTTGACAGCATCTTCTCATAAAGATTATTATTGACACCATTACCTTTAAGGCTTTCTTGAATGCTAAAAATGCTACCGAATTTTTTTCTTAACAACAACAAGCAATTTTAGTTCTACAATTGAAAGACTGGGTTTTATTCCCCTTAAAAGCAGAAAGCCTTTTTCAAAATTACATCTTTGAGCTAACGACTATGAAATATTATAAAACATTAACACTTTAACAAGCACCATGTTCTATATTAGTCTTTTGAATATGCTCAAATTGTATTTGTTTCAGGTCAGATTTTTGTGGCTTAAGGTTTTTTTTTTTTCCTTTTATATTGTTGTTGTTGTTGCTATGCCGTCGAGTCGGTTCCGACCCATAGCGACCCTGTACAGGGTTTCCGAGGCTGTAAATCTTAACGGGAGCAGAACGCCTCATCTTTCTTCCGTGGAACAGCTGGTAGTTTCGAACTGCTGGCCTTAAGGTTCGCAGCCCGATTCGTAACCACTAT